TCTGCCCGAAAGTCTTATAAATCTTCCAACAGAAAACCAGAAACTTTTGTAGTAGGGGACCAACACGTCTTAAAATAAGAGATTAGACAGTCTTCTACTGAGAATTAAGAAATTCTTCCAAAAGAAGGCCATAATATCCCATATCAGAAAACCAGGAGTTCTTGAAATAGAAAATCAACAGGAGATCAGAATGTCTTCTAATAGGAGACAATATGTTTCTTAATATAAGATGAGGATGTCTTCATACAGGAGACAAGAAGGTCTTCACATGAAAGACAAAAAAATTCTTAGTTAAGAAGGCTTTTAATAAAAAGGAGATGGGTTCTATTACGGGACAAGGATAAGGCTGTCGTAACTACTTACAAATCAACCTACGGTTTTACAAAGGCATGTCTCCCGAAATGAGTAGTTAATTTTTGAATAAAAATATTTATTTTATTTTTGGAATCCGTTTTTTTGCATTTTTTGTTCGCTGCTGGAATTGAGCTCGCAATCTTTAATTTTTTTCTTCGTTTGCCGACGAATTCGTAACTTTCGGTTGGTGATGGGGAAAAAAGCGTTAGAATTCCACATTGGCTCTGACATTCCTTAATAATTTGACATTAGCAAAGCAAGAAAAAAAAAACAGAAAGGAAAAGTCAGAAGTCGGGCGGGGCCGACTATATGATACCCTGCACCACTATGCATATTTAGTAGAATTCCGTAACAAAAAAAAAGATCATTTATAGAATTTTTTGAGGTATATCATACCACTTATAAACATATTGCTTTATAGCACAATAAACCTTATATAGGATATTAAGGATATAAATGGGAGTTATATCCAAATCTCGGCCGATCTCGATAAAATTTGGCAAAGGCATTTCCGAGCTCTATAAGATATATTTAGGATTTCAAGAAATCCTTAATCCGAAAATTTTCAAAAATGTAGAAGAAGGGGAAAATTGCCCCCTCTATTTACAGGGTGAGATGAAAAAACTGTAACCAAATTCAGACTGCTGTCAGTTCTATGCCACTCGTCCGACAGCTATTCAAATTATTCCAGTGACAGCTCATTATATTGTTTACAAGCGTGCTGAAGCATTTTGGTCAGAATTTTCCAGAAAAAAAGATATACGTGATAGAATTCAAGCGTCATAGTGTGATTTCTTTATATTTGGCTGGAAAAACACCAGTGGCTATCGTTTAAATGTAAATAAATCTCTTGTGTCTTGTACCATCGCTCGTTACCGTGATACTGATAGCGTAGCCCGATGTCAAAGGAGTGGACGGAAGAAAACAGCCGAAATGGTTCGAAAAGTAAAGAAGCGTGGCTCGTGAGCTGAAACATATCGCAATTTTCCATTCGGCAAATATTGAAAAATGTGCTCGGGGTAAAGTCATTGAAATTCCCAAAAGTGCAAGAACTTACACCGCAACAGAAAGAAAATACACTCAAAAGAGCTAAAGAGTTGCATCGCTTGGTCGAAAGTGGTGAACTGCCGAATTTGGTTTTCTCCGATGAGAAAAAATTCGTTGTTCAGCAGTTTGTAAACCATCAAAATGATCGTGTTTACTTGCCAAAGAGGTCAGATGAAAATGTGCACCTTCGGTTGGCCACCAGAATTCAAGTGCCAGTCGCTCTCCGCTCGTATTAATATATCGCGAAAATATTCTGGAGTGTGTATTAAAGCCTTGGGCACGCAAACTTTTTGGCCACAGACCTTGGGCATTCCAAAAGGACTCAGCACGCGCCACCCAGGAATGGTTACAAAATGAGATTCCGCAGAGCAACATTTGGGCAGCGTGTGGCGGTTTCCTTTGCCGTTTGAAGCACAGAATTCGTGCCAAAGGTGACCAATTCCAACAAATCTAAACTTATTCTAAAATTTTAAGCTATTTCTGAAATTTTTTGCTTTCATTCAATAAAATTTAAAGAAAAAAAATAAAAATTATGGCGTTTGACTTTGATGCAGTTTTTTATCTCACCCTGTATAAGGGAATTAGAGATTTCTTTTCCAGGATGACTTTTAGTGAAATTTGATGAGGAACATCTTTGTCCATGACGTAATTCTTCTTCAATGATGCTTTCTATGAGTGTTTTGCCTTAACTCACATAAAGTATGGTTTTAACCCTAAAATGAGTTTTTAATGTTTGTGAATTCCTGGCGTTTAGATAAGATTTAGACTGGGGCCTGTAGAAGAATATTTAAATTTCCTACGATCCCGTTTAAAAGAAGTTTTCTACCACTTTCTCGCACAGTGTTAGCAGTAAAAATGAAAATATATAATTTCACTTGTACATTTCGAATGTGCTTTTCTTAAAAACTATTAAACCTAGATATATGGTTTATTCTGAGGTTTATAGTGAAATTTTGTGTAGATTATTTCTTCTATTGACACTTTCTGTCTCAACAGAAATTTTATATTACTTTTCGGCGTTATATCGATATAAGGTCGAGGAAACAATTATCTGATGAGTTTTTATTATTATTTTATTATTTTAACGTTTTTTTTTTTGACAACATTGATTCAGTTTTTTTGTGAAATTTGATGAGGAATAATTTTGGCCTTGATGTAATCCTTCTAACAGGATGATTTTTAGTAGCATTATGCCTAAACTCACAAAAAGTACAGTTTTAACCACCAACCAGTTTTTAATTAATGTGAATTCCTGTCGTTTATGTAAAATTTAGACTTCTGATGCCTTCTGAAACTTGTGGTAGAATCTTACGAGAAATAATTTTCTACAATTTTTTGCCTTGCCACGACCTGTGGTGACTCGTTGAGGGGTAATTTTTTTTCCAAATTTTTTAAAGAAGGGGAAAATTTTCCCCCTCTATTTAGTTTACTTTACGAAGAAAATGTTCAAAACGCGGAGCTCCTATTTTAGCTCTTCTTTCATAATCTATTGGATTTTTTTGCAAATATTTTTTATGTTGTCCAGTGTTATTCAAAGATTTTTTTTAAATGCCTAAAAATATAATGGTCTCCGAAGTGAAACGTTTTCCCCTTTGGTCCCATCTCAACCTGATACCCATTCACGAGTTATTTTCTTTATTACCATTCATTGTCCTCTCATGTCCTTGTGAAATCTATTCCTTACAAAAGTATTAGCTACGACTCAGATGCAGGAGAATGGAAGTAAAAAGACGAGAAACAAGTAAAAAAGCAGTAAGTTCGGCCGGGCTGAACTTTGAATACCATCCACAATTTAGAACTAATTTCGAAAATTTCGAAAAAGATAGCATTCGCCGAAAATTCTGCTAACATCTTAAAAATACCGAATATAGCCGTTATATTAGGGTCTGCATGACGTGCACCTCAATAGGCATTGTTTGTCACAAGCCATTACCGTATTCAAATTCGAAACTTGAAATAAACGGTGAATAATGTAGCTAAAATCATCAAAATACCGTAAAAAGGGAGGTACGTTATATAGGAGCTATACGAAGACCTGGAGCTGCGTAGACAATTTTCTGTCGCAGGCTGTAGGTTCCATTACCAACTTCAAATACGACATCTCAAACAATTTCGGTGAGTATTGTACTTAAAATCGTCAATATACCGAATATAGGAAGGTACTGATGTATGGGGCCTATACGAAGACCTGGACCAGCATATTTTGCAATTTTCTGTCACAGACTGTAGTTTCCATTACGAACTCTAAACACGTAATTTGAAACTACTACAATGAATAATGACGCTAAAATCATCTGAATATTGGGGGGGGGGGGGGGGTACAGTTATATGGAGGCTATACGAAGACGTGGACCTGCATGGACAATTTTCTGTCTTAGGCTGTAGTATTCATTACGAACATCAAACACCAAATTTGAAACAGTTCCGGTGAATAATGTCGCTAAAATCAACAAAATACCGAATATATGGTGGTACCGTTATATGGGGGCTATACCGAAGAGATGGACCTAAATGGCCCATTTACTAATTTAACCTGCCTACTGGCAAAATCGTCTTAGAATTTTACGCTGGTCAAGAATATATATACTTTGTTGGGTCTGACATGAGTATTTCGAGGAGTTACAAACGGAGTGACAAAATAAATATACCCTCCATAGTATGGTGGAGGGTATAAAAACGAAATCATTTTTATTATTCCAGATTAGTTTTCATCTTTTATGGATTGCCATTTGGAGGGCAGTCGTTTTTGTTGTTCATTGTCATGAATTGTAATTTCTGGAAAAGCAAGCATTTCATAATAGAGGCAAACTTGACTCAAGGGTACCACGGAAATGGATGTGGCCTCTGTTTGTCTGTCTGGCTGCCTGGGTGGCTGGCAACTGCAAATGTTGGTCCCAAATGGCAAATGGGGAGAAAATCGTTAATTTCACTCACATATCAACATTCATTTTAATATTTCTCTTTTTTATGAAATGTTAATAATAATGACACGCAGACACACACTTATGTACATAATCAACTCACACACATACAAATTGTTAATGCATAGGCCTTCTCACAGATTTGCCCTGTTGCAATGTTAATGTCGGCTCTCGAACTACACAGTCGACTGACTGACTATCTGGCTGGCTGGCTGGATGTCTGATGGCCACAAGCAAGTAGTTGTCGTTTTCAGTTTTTTTCCCTAGTAGGAATATCCGGAACTCAAAATGAACACACACACATACATGCACAAAAAATAACAACAGAAAAACCTAATGTTAATTATCTAATAGACACATTGGTTATTTATCTCTCTCTGTATGTCAGTTTCTTGTTGCTGCTTCTTCATCGTGTTGTATTTGTTGTAGTTTTTTCTATATTAGTTAAGTATGGAATGGAATGTTAGTATCTATGCTATGTTATGCTATTTGTTTGTTGTTGATGTTGTTGCGGCTGCTATTGGCTTCATCGCGATATAAATACACATGATGTGGAGCGGTAGTAGGATATCCGCATCCGTCCACCAGCAGGGCACACATCCGTGAAGCCCTATGGGTTTGTTTGAATGGTTGGTCGGCTGAATGTCTGACTGGCTGGTTCGCCGGTAACCATGGCTGCGATGAAATGATGATGCCAGTGTTGTTGTTTTTTCTTGCTCCTCTTTTTTAGTATCGTCGTCATCGTTGACATAGCATTTCTGCAAACAATGATGCTGCAATTACTGTAAATAACACAACCGAGAGTATGGGCGACATTGTCGACCCTGATGCATGCTGCATGGCAGCTGGTTCTTCACCTAAAAAAAAGAAAAAAAAAAACAAGAAAAATAGATAAAGAAGGGCAAAATAGAAAAGAGCGTCAGGAAACGGAAATGGAGAACATTAATGAATATATGGCATATAAATAGATGTTTGTTGGCAGAGGCTAAACATCATTAGCAGGATATGTTAGTGTCGATGTGTTTGTGTGTGAGAGAATGTTTTAATGGTTCTGTGTCGTAAAAAAATATATGTATTTAAAATGTGATGCAATGTGTGCGGAAAAACACCAAAGTTTACATGAAGTCCGCATAAAAATTAAGAGGATGATATTTGCGGACCTAATGGAACTGGGAGCAGGAACTTTGAGAACCAACGAAAAATACTAAAAGATTTAACATCATTAATCCCGGATTGACAAATGTAAGTTTAAGATAAGGTCGAATTTTTGAAAATTTTCTACTTTAAGAGCACGAAAAGTACTTAATGGAATGGTAGGGGCTAGAACTTTAGAATTTTGTAAAAGATCTAGTTGTGGTGTATAAAGGTGGATTAAGGTGGAAATTCAGGACAAAAAGTAATAAAAAAAAAATACAAAATGACACAACATTGTTTTTTGGTGATCGCTAAGAGCTAGAAATCCGCACTTAGATGGCACGCAAAACGGTAAAAAGTAAACAAGTAAAAAAACATTAAGTTCGGCCGGGCCAAACTTTTAATACCCTCCACCTTAGGGTAAAAGAATCATTAGAAGAAATGTGGCAAAAACCATTAAATTCCGAATATCGGGAGGTACCGTTATATGGGGGCTAAACCAAAACGTGGACCTATAATTACAATGTTTCGCCACACGAACTAGGACCCATTATGACCCACAAATACCAATTTTTAGACAAATCAGTGAAAAAAAGTGGCAAAAACCATCAAAATACCGAATATCGGGAGGTACCGTTATATGGGGGCTATACCAAATCATGGACCCATACATGCAATGTTTCGCCACCGGAGCTGGAACCCATTATGACTCACAAATACCAATTTTCAGACAAATCCATGAAAAAATGTGGCAAAAACCATTAAAATGCCGAATATCGGGAGGTACCGTTATATGGGGGTTACACCAAAACGTGGACCTATAATTACAATGCTTTGCCACACGAACTAGGACCCGTTATGACCCACAAATACCAATTTTTAGACAAATCAGTGAAAAAAAGTGGCAAAAACCATCAAAATACCGAATATCGGGGGGTACCGTTATATGGGGGCTATACCAAATCATGGACCCATACATGCAATGTTTCGCCACCGAAGCTGGAACCCATTATGACTCACAAATACCAATTTTCAGACAAATCCATGAAAAAATGTGGCAAAAACCATTAAAATGCCGAATATCGGGAGGTACCGTTATATGGGGGTTACACCAAAACGTGGACCTATAATTACAATGCTTTGCCACACGAACTAGGACCCGTTATGACCCACAAATACCAATTTTTAGACAAATCAGTGAAAAAAAGTGGCAAAAAACCATCAAAATACCGAATATCGGGGGGTACCGTTATATGGGGGCTATACCAAATCATGGACCCATACATGCAATGTTTCGCCACCGAAGCTGGAACCCATTATGACTCACAAATACCAATTTTCAGACAAATCCGTGAAAAAATGTGGCAAAAAAAAACCAAAATACCGAATATCGGGAGGTACCTTTATATGGGGGCTATACCACAACGTGGTACCAACCATTCTAGACACAATGCAAATAGCTCTGCTAAATTTTGGCGCTCTACGTCAAATAATGTGGGCTGTATCGTGATTTCAACAGACAGACAGACGGACATCGTTAAATCGACTTAGAATTTTATGATGATTATGAATATATATACTTTATGGGGTCTAAGACGAATATTTAAGGATGTTACAAACGGAATGACAAAGTTAATATACCCTCCTTTCCAAGGTGGAGGGTATAAAAATAAAAATGGTACAACACTGGATTTGAGCGTACGGTCAGACTTAGAACTTTGAAATTTTGCATGAGGCTCACTCCATGCGTAAAAGGGAAAATATAAACCAGTAACCAAAAGTCAAATACCGGGCGGGGCCGACTATACAGGGTGAGATGAAAAAACTTCAACCAACTTCAGACTGCTGACATTTCTAAGCCACTCGTCCTACAGTTGTTAAAATTATTCCAGTGACAGCTCATTATTAACTTAGTACAATTAAGTACTTTTTGTTTTTTAAATCCATAACGGGCGGGCCCGACTATGTGATACCCTACACAACTATGTATATTTAGCAGAGCTCCCGTAACAAAAGAAGTTATTTGAAATGAGTAGATCATACCACTTATCAACATTTGGCTTTAGAGCAGTTATGATTTGGTTTCAGAGGGAACTAATATTTGGGAGGTATATCAAATTCTGAATTGATTTTCACTAAATTTGATGCAGATATTTTCATCGTTTATGCCAAATAACATTGCTATAGAGTTTCACGATATCACTTCGAGAAAGATTATACTAACTAACTATTGGAGCCGAGTTCCACCAAATAGAAACGTGATACAATTTGGCATAGGTATTTTTGGGCTGTACCTGATATCTGATACCAAACATCATTCTTGTGGGTGCCTATTACGAATGTGGGGGACTTAAAAACCAAATCGGATGATTCCTATATATGGGAGCTATAGCTATATCTGAACCAATTTTCACCAACTTTTATGTACTTGCTTCTAGACTGAATTGTGTTGGATGTGCCAAAATTCAGGTAATTTGGACTGATATTGGTTATTTGGTGCACAATTAATCCGAAAACGGTTGAAGATATATCTGAACCGATCTTGACAGATTGAATTCGATCCGATGTACAAAAATTCAGGACTTTTGGACTGATATTCATTGGTGCACAATTAACCCGAAATCGGTTAAAGATCTATATGGGAGCTATATCTAAATCTGATTCGATTATCACCAATTTCAATAGGGTTCGTCTTGAGCCAAACAAATATTTTGTGGAAAATTTCATCTCAATCGGATACTAAATGCGACCTGCATTTTGTTCATAAGTATACATGGACAGACGGATGAACGGACTGACATGCATGCATCGACTCAGAAAGTGATTCTTTGCAGATCATCCAAATTAACTATGGGTCTATATCGCTTCCTTCTCCCTGTTACAAACAAATGGTCAAAGACATAATACCCTTACCACTATGCTGGGTTCGCCTAAAAGTCTGCTACAAAACTTTTGATTGTGAAATGTTAAAAAGCTACTTTACATATGACTCTAACACTATGTAAAAACTGACCTTTAGATGGTACGAAAAGCGGAAAATGGAAAAAATGGTACAACATTGGATTTGAGCGATCGGTAAGATTTAGAATTTTGAAATTTTGCATGAGGCTCACTCAATGTGGAAAGGGGGAAAATATAAACCAAGATTTTGAACTTGGTAATTATGGATATAAAAAATATAATGGGTAAAGCCTAGTTTCCACGTCGTGTTAGAGTCATATGTAAAATTATTTTTTAACATTAAATAATTAACAATTTTGTAGTAGGCACTCAGCAATTTTAAAACTTGAACGAAACACACGAAGTTGCAACTCCCCATGTAAATGGCTTTAAAAAAGGCAGGCTCTATGAGGATAATAGGGTCTTTTCTTAAAGCTTAAATCTCAAAATGTAGGTCATAATAAGAGTAAAATATAAGACCCTAGCAAATGTCCGCTACTTCAACTGTGAAAAGTCCACCTTAAAATTTTAGATTCATTCTAACAGTTCGCGATAGGCCTTTTAATGCTCAAAATGCACAATTGGTTTAGTTTGACAGATTTTTTAATCAAAACTTCGTATATCGTATTAAATTTTCAGACTTTCAAGGTATTATATATTTATTATTTTTTCTTTTTTGAAAAGAAAAAATAGTCTTCTAAATCTTTGATTTTGAAGTTTTTCGAGGGGGATATTGGTAAAACCATTGCACAATGGATCCACATCAAATTTTTCTGTTCAAAACTATTTCAATCTCTTCATATATAAACCCTAAAAAACACCGGTGACCTCAATATCAAATTTTATCATTTTATCTCTATCCTTTCACCTAATACCCAATTTAGTATAACTTAGTACTTTTCGAACAATTTTAGTACACATTTTTAAAAATCACCTCCAACCACTGACACCAATAGTGGCATCTATATCGAATTTTACAATTTCAGCCCTATTTCTTCACCCAGTACCATTCAGTACTTTTCGTACAATTCTAGTACACATTTCCGAAACCATCTCCATATGTCCAGGCTACACATGAAAAGCGATCCTAATACCAAATTTCAGATTTCAAGCACTATATCTTTACCCAATACCAAATTGTACAAAATATGGTACCATTTAGTACTTTTCATACACATTATTATTATTATTATTATTATTATTATTATTATTATTATTATTATTATTATTATTATTATTATTATTATTATTATTATTATTATTATTATTATTATTATAGTACACATTTCCAAAAGCAAATCATTATCACAAACCTACCACAAGGATGGACCCCACTACAAACTTTCGAAATTCCAGCTCCTTCCGTTCACCCTTAGCCAAACTATTCCAAATTTAGTACCTTTTAGGATAGTTCGCACACTTAGTATACATTTCCAAAACCACCTTCATATATAAAACTAACTTTGCTACCTTGATTCCCACACTAAATTTTCAGATTTTAGCTCCATTAGAAGTTTAGAACTTTTCGTAACCTTAAACTTCGCATTCCCGAAACCGCTTCAAAAAGCAACTGTAAGGGATAATGGGTTGCTGAAACAGTGAAAATAAAAAATCTGCTACAGGCCTATCGGTTACATTTAGAATCATTTTGATATGGCCCTCATAACCCCAATCTCAAATATTTTATATGTTTTTATATTCTTCGCCATATCGCGACGGAGGGTGTACAAATAATAGATTGTCTCTTTGGACCCCATTCATCTCAGGATATTTGGAGCCGATCTAGCAATGTCCGTCTGTCTGGCTTGCTATTGCGCACGATAACTCTTGAAGAGTGTATCCGAATCGGTCCAAACTTGGTTCATCGTAATATTATGGTCAAACTTAGATTGAGTTAGAGGATTGGCAGTATCGGCCCACCGCTTCTGGTATCTGCCCCACAACGGATAAAGAAAGAGAAATACCAAATTCTCATAAAATGCGAAATGAGTATCCGATTCATTCTAAGCTTCACACATTCTAATATTTTCACTAACACAAGATGTGGTATAAAGACCATAGAATTAATAGACATTTTGGTCTACTACTTTTGGTGAAACCTTTGCCTGACAAGTATTCTTATAGAATTGCAAATAACGTTTGATTTTCTTTAAATTCTACAGAACCCAATATTTTTATCAACATTAGATGAAGTAGAATACTTTGGTCCATTGTATGATATTTCCAAAAATGATCACATATCCCAAATCTGGAATCGAAGTCGAAATGGACAATATTGGCCAAATCCTTCGGACCCTCCCCCATTAAAGATTAAAAGCTTTAATAATCATAATGCAAATCAATGACATGAAAAAATCTGCAACCAACTTCAGACTGCATTCATTTCAAAGCCACTCGTCCGACAGCTGTTAAAATTATTCCAGTGGCAACTCATTATGTTGCTTACAAGCGCACAAAAGCATTTTGGTGAGAATTTTCCAGAAAAAAAAAAAACTTATTCGTGATGGAATTCAAGCGTGATAGTGTGATTTCTTTATATTTAGCTGGAAAACCACAAGTGGCTATCGTTAGAGCACTCCAGCATTTAAATGTGAATAAATATTTTGTATCTCGTACCATCGCTCGTTACTGTGATACTGGTATCGTAGCCCGACGTCAAGGAAGTGGACGGATGAAAACAGCAACATCAGCAGAAATGGTTCGAAAAGTAAAGAAGCGACTTGATCGAAACCCGCGTCGCAGTGGCCGAAAAATGGCACGTGAACTGAACATATCGCAATATTCCATTCGGCAAATATTCAAAAATGAGCTCGGCGTAAAGCCATTGAAATTCCAAAAATTGCAAGAACTTACACCGCAACAGAAAGATGAGTTGCTTCGCTTGGCCGAAAGTGGTGAACTGCCGAATTGGGTTTTCTCCGATGAGAAAATATTCGTTGTCCAGCAGTTTGTAAACAAACAAAATGATAGAGTTTACTTGCCAAAGAGGTCAGCTGAAAATGTACACCCTTGGTTGGCCACCAGAACTTAATCGCCGGTCATCGTGATGGTGTGGGCCGCCGTAACATCCGATGGCCGCTCTCCGCTCGTATTAATCGACCGTGGCATGAGAATAAATGCCGAATATTATCGCGAAAATATTCTGGAGGGGCACGTAAACATTTTGGGCGCAGACCTAGGACATTCCAACTGGAGTCAGCACCATCGCACTCAGCACGCGCCACCCAAGATTGGTTACAAAATGAGGTTCTTCGCTTCATTTCCAGCGCACAATGGTCACCAAAATCTCCGGATTCCAATCTGTTAGACTATTGTGTCTGGAGTATTTTGGAAAGCAAGTTTCGATCACCTCAAGTAAGCGCTTCGCCGGGAATGGGCCAAAATACCGCAGAGCAACATTTGGGCAGCGTGTGACGGTCTCATTGGCCCTTAATAAGGCCATAATTCGTGTCAAAGGTGACCAATTCGAAAAAATTTTAACCTTTTCTACAATTTGATGGTATTTCCGACATTTTTTGCTTCCATTCAATAAATTAAAAAAGTTAGAATCTTGAATTTTTGCACGAGGGTTAGTGTTGATATGTAGGCGTTTGGGTTCTAAAAAAATCGTTCCAAAGGTTACGGAGAGTACTAAATTTTTTATTGGGTGAAAGATTAGATTTAAAATTCCGAAATTCTGTATCACATATAACATTTAGAATCATTTTGATCGCGACAGAGGGTGTACATCATTTGATACGACCAAAACGTGCCTCTTCCAAAGTTTTAGACCCTACGTTTCCGTTGCATGGCATAGGGTTGTCTGTCTGTTTGTAGAAGGGAGTATCCGATTTCCTCCAAACTTGGTACATCGTAAAATTATGGTCAAACTTAGATCGATTCACTTCTTCTGGTTCCTCCCACACACGCTCATTCAATCCGATATAAACATTCGATTCAATTCAAGCTCAGTACATCTCAGTATTTTCATCAAAACAAGATCTATTGTGAAGATGGTAGATATCGGTCCACTCCTTTTGGTACCTTCTCCAGAAAGTGTCAAAATTTGGAATATTTACAACTCTTAAAAAATGTGAAATAAAAGTCTGACTATTCTAAAATTGCACACATTCCAATATTTTTATTAACACAAGGTATGTTATTAAAATTGGATATATTGATCCACTCCTTCTGGTACCTCCTCCACAACGGGTCAAATTTTTCAATAACCATTAATCTCATAAAACTCGAAATTAGCATACGATTCCTTTTGTCAAACTCCAATATCAACACAAGAAGTTGGTAGATATCGGACGACTCCTTCTAGTACCTCACCCACAAAAGGTCAAAATTTTGAACAACCAAAACGATTATAAACGGCGAATTGGGCATCCAACTCCTTCAAATTTCACACACCCCAATATTTAGACCCTACACCACATTGTAGTAAGGGTATTATGTCTTTGTGAATTTGTTTGTAACAGGGAGAAGGAATTAAGATAGACCCATAGTTACTTTTGAGGATAATCATAGAATCACTTTCTGAGTCGATTTATGCATGCGTTCTATGCATTCTTGTGAACAAAATGCAGGTCGCATTTATTATTGAGATGAAAATTTGCAAACAAAATTTGTTTGGTCCAAGGACGAACCCTATTGAAATTTATGATAATTGGATCAGATTTAGATATAGCTGCCATATATACCTTCAAGCGATTTCGGGTTAATTGTGCACCAAATAACCAATATAAGTCCTAATGACCAGACCTGATAAGTTATGGCACATAGAAATATTTATATTAAACTTCGGTCAGGTACGAAATGGACAATATTGGTCAACCCTTTCGGACCCCATAAAGGGTAAATCGCAAGTGGCTGAGGCTGTCGGCTAAACCGATGGATACTTTATAACTTGTTTTATATAGTTTTGGTCCAAAATCGATCTGCAAACTTTAATTTCCCTTCGAAATATTTTTTATCCTTTTTTTCGACTTATGTTGGAAAGTCATCAAAAGATTCACTTCCGACAACTTTCGATTGGAAGTCTGAATGAGTTTGAATTTGAAGATGCTGTCCGACCAAACCTTCATTGTTTGGTTTGCTGGGTAACTCAGCCTATGTAAAAGCTTCTGGGGTAGTTGTATTTCCACGTTATCCAATTTTGAATATTTTATTAAAATTAATCCGATTCTTGGAAGAAGCCAGTAAATCCAGCTCAAATGTTTTTTTTGTTAATAAAATATTCAAAGAATTTCCGATTCATGACAAAAGAACAAGTGTTGCCATGTTTGCACTATTATTAGTTTACATATTTTTGTTTTCGTTTTTTAAATCCTGCAATCCAATTATTAACAGAATTTGTGATGTTTTGTTGGTTCAACTATGTTCAATTTACAATCTCATATTTACCGATAATATATCAGCAGCAGTGGAAGAAGTTTTGCAATTGTGCATGAAAATATAATATTGAAATACGTGCAGAGGATGCCATGCTAGGGGGGGAGAGGGTGAGGGGTTGGTCTTTGTGAAAAAAAGGTGTGGGCGGATGGTTGGATGGCTGAATGAATGGAGCGATGGTGGATGGCATTGTGTTTGAGTAATGAAATGCATGCATATTGTTTATTATTGGATTGCTGCAGACATTTCGAAGGGTGTAACTTTTTTTTAGTATTTTTTTTTTTTGATTATTTTCCACACTGAGAGATTTCAACACTCCCTCGGTTTGGATAATTTATATCGTGTTCGATATTTGATTTTGTTGGCTATCACTTTTCCTGCTGCTGTGAGTTCTCTTTGTTCAATGTGTAGTCAATGCTTATTAACCCCACCAGATAGAGGTGAGGAGTGGGGAATACCTACCATTTAGTACGTGTACCATCACAGTTCCAGTGATATCATTACCAAGGGTACACGAATAGTTGCCAGTATCATGTCGATTGGCATTGGCAATATAGAGGCGACTGAAAGCACGTCCGGGTAGCATATCGGTTTTAACGCTGCAACGAAACAAAACGAAATGGAAAAAGGGGTGAATAAGAATATGAATAGTAAACCACAGCGCCGCAGTAAGCAGTAACTATAAAAAGAAATGTATTTCCAACCGACTCCCCCAAACCCCATTTTTATGGGAAACAACAACAACAACAATGACAAATCAAAAATCCCCCTCAGTAATAAATATATACATGTGTATATATTGATTCGGAGGAATTGGAACGCATGATTTACAATGAACAAATATGTTTTGTTTTGTTTGTTTGCTTTCAAAATATATTTGATGGCAAATCACACGCATATCTCTCAGTCATACGCGACTTTTGAGTGGTATTTGTTGTTGTTATTGTCTTTTTTTCTTCTTTCGTAGTTGTTGTAATCCCCAATCACCATCTCAACTGCACAGTGTTTAGAATAGGGGTAAGGTATTTTATCTGGTATTCCCTGCCTTACCCCCTGGTAAACATTACCATCGTTCTCCACTAATAAACAAACGTTGTTTTTATAAAAACAACAATAAAGGGATAAAGCCTAAAAATTTTGCAACAACAAAAAACTTTAAATTATAATTTTAATCATAGCTTGTATGATTGAATTCCCCCATAAAAACTTTTAATTGTCATGTGGAGCTGTACTAAATTAGCAAAGTGGTGTAGGGCCCCGCCCGACTTTAAGACTTTCTTTACTGGTTTTATTGTATTCGGCAGTTCACCACTTTCGGCCAAGCGAAGCAACTCTTTAGCTCTTTTGAGTCTATTTTCTTTCAGTTGCGGTGTAAGTTCTTGCACTTTTTGGAATTTTAATGCCTTTACCCCGAGCTCATTTTTCAATATTTGCCGAATGGAATATTGCGATATTTTCAGCTCACGAGCTTCTTTACTTTTCGAACCATTTCTGCTGATGTTGCTGTTTTCTACCGTCCAATTTCTTGACTTCGGGCTACGCTACCAGTATCATACCAAATATAATGAAATCACACGATTGCATTCTATCACGAATAACTTTTTTCTGGAAAATTCTCACCAAAATGCTTCTGTACGCTTGTAAACAATATAATGAGCTATCACTGGAAAAATGCTAACAGCTGTCGGACGAGTGGCTTAGAAATGACAGTTTTTTTATCTCACCCTGTATATATATCCTTGATCAGCATAAAATTCTATATCGATTTAGCGATGTCCGTCCGGCTGTGGCAATCACTGCACCCGAAGTATGCTGATAAAATTTTACTCAGATGTGTCTTTGAACCGCAGGATTTTTGGTATTAAAAATGGGCTGTATAGGTCCACGTTTAGGTATAGCCCCCATATAACGATATCTCCCTATATTATTTTATATTATTTTGATGATTTTAGCAAAATTATTCACCTAACTTTTTTTCAAATTTCGTATTTGTAGTTCGTAACGGGTATTACAGCCTATGACAGAAAATTGCCTATGTAGGTTCACGTCTTCGTATAGACTCTAAAATAACGGTAAATGGTTCTAAATGGTGTAGGGTATTCAAAGCTCGGCCCGGTCGAACTTATTGCTTTTTTACTTGTTTTTTTATTTATACCCTAGAGAGCAAATTCATGGTAGAATCGCCATGTCTCTTAAGTCGAAATCCATTAAATGTATTTGAAGTCCATTGAGCTATGTTTGTCTGTCTGACCGGCTGATACAACCAATAACTTTCAATGGGAGTATGCACATTTTTCCAAATCGTAATACTTTTGTCAAACTTAGATCAAGTCTGAAGATGGCACACTTCGGTCCCCTTCCTCGGAAATCTCCCAACAAAATTTCAACCTTAACAAATAAAACAAGTACAAAAGCAGCTAAGTACGACCGAGCTGAACTTTCGGAAGAAACTAAAAATAAAAAATTCAAAAGAAACTCCGCCGAAAATTACCCCTAGACTGCAGTTACGATTCCGAACTTCAAATATGAAATTTGAAACAAATTCACCTGAAATGTCGCTAATATCATCAAAATACCGAATAAAGGGAGGTACCGTTATATAGGTTCTATACAAAGACGTGGACCTGCATAGACAATTTTACGTCATGGGTTGTAGTACCCAATACGAAATTTGAAATAATTCCGGTGCATAATGTCGCTAAAATCATAGAAATACTGAATATCTGGGGGTACCGTTATATGGGGGCTTTACGATATCGTTTACCGATATAGCACATTTTCGAACTTAACTTCCCTGCAGATAAAAGACAGATCGGATCATATATATTTTGTTGCTAATACCAATACTAATCTAATACTAATACTGTACTAATACAAATACAAATACAAATACTAATGCTAATACTAGTACTAATACTAATACTAATACTAATACTAATACTAATACTAATACTAATACTAATACTAATACTAATACTAATACTAATACTAATACTAATACTAATACTAATACTAATACTAATACTAATACTAATACTAATACTAATACTAATACTAATACTAATACTAATACTAATACTAATACTAATACTAATACTAATACTAATACTAATACTAATACTAATACTAATACTAATACTAATACTAATACTAATACTAATACTAATACTAATACTAAGCCGTCTGGCTGGTGCGCACGATACCTCTCGAAGGAAGTACACGAATTGGTCCAAACTTGGTACATTGTAATATTATTGTCAAACTTAGATTGAGTTCGGAGTCGGGTAATATCGGTCCACTCCTTCTGGTACCTCATCCACAAAAGGTGGCATTTTTCAAAAAAAATATTTTACTGCACACAAAGAGATACCTCTGATACCTCTCCCATATGGGTCAGCATTTTGAATATCCATTGAGCTCAAAAAACGCGAAATTAACATCTAATTTTATTCAGACTTGGTACATCTCAATATTTTCATCAACCCAAGATCTGTCATAAAGACGGTAGAGATCGGACCATTTCTTCTGGTATATCCCGCACAAAGGCTTCAAGTCATTGGAAAACAAAACAGTCGAAGAAAGCAAAATAATCATCCGACTCTTCAATTTATGTATGTATGTATGTGTAGTACAAACATTTCTCTGTGAACCCTTTTGGAACATCAGGGTCAAAGGGTCACATTTGTCAATACTATTATCAGTCATTGCTTGCGAACAAGCGATTCCTAAATTTCAAATGTTCAGTTCCATCCCTCTCTAAAATTTAGTACCATTTGGTACTTTACATACTTTTTTAGTACGTATTTCCAAAACTACATCCAGATTTCGACCCTACACATTAATGGTGATCCTAATGCCAAATTTCACATTTCCAAAACCACCTCTTTATTTTAACCCTACCCATCAGCTGTGTGTCCAATATTAACGTTACAAATGTTTAGCTCCATCCTTTCACCCAAAACCAAATTATACCAAATTTAGTTTCAAAACCACTTCCTTTCCAAACTCAATCCTGAAAGTACATTTATGGTTCGAATTTCCAAAAAAAACTTTGTTTCTTTTTTTTCTACACCACACCAGTGACCATTATTCCAAATTTCCGAATTCTAGGTCTATCCGTTTGTCCAATAAAATGGATTCAATTTTTAGTACCGTTTCGCCCTGGCTTTGTATCAATCGGACAGTCAATCGATCATGCTCTACTCTTATATATAAAGACAAAAAAAAAATGGGTTTGGCCAGGGTATCTCCCATCCCGTGTCACTGTGCCCCACCATTGCCACGTTGCCATTAATTCTGCATCAATGACCCTCGAAGGAAACGGATATTTGTATTTATGTTTCAACTGCAAACCAAACAAAAGGGTACCGAGTGTGAATATCAACGTGACTGTTTACATGTACATGTACGTGTGTGTGGGTATGAGTGTATGTGTGTGTTTGTGCCCGTGTGTATTTTCATTATTTAATGGAATTTTTCTATGCTAAGCACGAGATGAGAACAGATAATATTGGTGGAAAACACGCGCGCACTCACAACACACACACACACCCCCACAAAAAGACGGGAATTGTCATAAATGACAACGACAGCAACAAAAAATACAACAATGATGGCGATGACGACAACATGTCGCATGAGTAATGCAATTCTGGTCTGATATCACGTATACGTCGCCAAGTACCATCATCATAAACAACATCATTAACAAGCAGAATAAGAGTCACCCGTCCAAACAACCCATCAACCCTCGGAACATTTCTAAGCCAAAAACCAATTGGATGCCATTAGAGTTTTAAACTCAAATTTAATACTTAATGAGGAATCTTTAATGAAAAGAAGAAGAAGAGAAAAAAACAAAGTTCCACAAAAGGGGGGAGGGGATGCCTGAATCCTGTAAAAGTTTTTGCCATTGATTGAAATGATAGTTTGCTTTTATGGCTCAGTTAGAATTTAAGCTGCACATGAGTTGCCCTGAATAAAATAGACACTTTTCTTTTGCCAAAGACATGCGGAGCCATTCAATACCAGGAATCCATTTCATTTGAATCCCTAACACAATCTGAAGATTTGCATGAGTTACTTTGAAAAAAAAGGTGGATAGACAGCACTTGACGCCATACACCATACAGAGAACAAAATGTAGCCTACGTTTTGCCAGAGAGTTAGCCACCCGGTGAGATATGGGATCTAATGTTTATTGCTATTATCAAGCCTAATAATTTATTGCGGAGCATTTTTATTTAAAGGGGTGGGAAAATGCTGTCATTGGACAAACGAAGAGAAATGTGTTACTCTGCAATAGAACATTGAGGATAAAATTAATTGGGATGTTAGGATTGCAAAAATCGCTTTTTTCAAAGGTCCAATCCGAAATTGGCGCCCAAGCAGCAGTTTGACAATTAAATAAGACTAAAATTCTCTCGACATATTTTCTGAGTCACTACGCCTTGTTTGTAATTTAGTATTGGATTTTTCTGGGCAAAACCTCAATTTTTACATCACTATATTCCAATACATTGATGGGATGCGCTAGAAAAGATATTCAAATTAAGTTAGGCGAAAAATATGTGGAAGGCAGACATATTTCTATTACACT